GATCCCTTCCAACCCAAACCATTCTGTGATTCTATGGTTCTATAAAATCAAGCCTAACTGGCCAAAATCAGCAGGCTCCAAGCTCATTTATCTGGGAATTGCTGACCTGGGAAAAGAGCTGGCCAAAATCACCACATCTGCAGTCCCTTCCATATTTTGAGGTGTGAGATAAGAAAACCCGTCATACATCTGCCTAAGTGTTGCAGCCAGAGTGCCTCATGACTGCTTTGGAAGTGTGGCAGTGGTTATGTTAATCCAGAATCAACAACTTCCAAACTATTTTCTTTTCTCCCTCTGTATAGCCAGGGTGCACAAAGCCATCTCCTGCCTTTTCTTGCTAAGGCATGAACAGGCAAACAATCTACTAGAAGAGGTCCTGGAGTAATTACCCAGCTCAATTACATGAGTAAAATCAAGACTACAGCCCTCTGGAACTGAAAATTAATTGCAAAAGTATTGCTGAAGTGTGAAATAGGAGAAGTCTTTAACATTTGCTTTTGTGTGTGAAGTCATCTGCTAAGAAAACACCAAAATAATGCCAGCAGCTTTAGCTTTCTGCCACTTCTATCTATGTGCTACATCTTTCTCTGCCAATTTAAATGTTTGGGGCTGAGTGTCTCAGAATTTTCCTTGGTTTGCTTGTTTGCCTTTGTTGGAAATACCACTGCACTGGGCTTTTCACTCCTTTAGGTTTCTGCAGGCTCTATATTGGAAAGCGTCAAGGACAGAGTGGTTGACTCCAGACTGCAGGTGTATGTCACCCGACCGGGCCTGTTCACTTGCCTTGCCACGAACAAACACAGCAAAACTTTTGGAGCCGCAAAAGCTGCAGCAACCATCAGTGTTTCAGGTATGCTGGGAAAGAAGGGGGTTGTTAATTTCTTACCCTTGCAATTGCAGTCCTAGCTTTCCTGCTGGGCGAGAGGAAAGGGGTGTGAAGTATTCTGGAGGAGGAGGGAAAGCCTTGGAGAGCTGATAGTGTGCAGTGGGCTAAATTTGTGTACAAATGCATCCCCCGCCAGGCTATTTCCTCATATATTCTTACACTTTGGAGAGTGGCATAGCTGTCATTTCCTGAATGTTTGATGCCATCTTGTACTTTGTGTCCCAGAAGCACACTTGGTAAGTTCATCCATGTGGAGGAAGTTGTGGCCATGACCCAGCGTTGGTATCACCTAACAGCAAGGTGAAAATAGCTTTTGTGAGCAGGTTGGCTTCTCAGGGCGTTGCATCCAGAAAGCAGGGAGGTTGCTGTCAGAGCAGTACCCTGCTGTGCCTGGAGTAACTTCTGCTCCCAGAGACATCTCCCTATTTGGATGATCCAAATAGGAGAAATACCAGTGGTCTGACCGAGCTGACAGCATTTATCATACCAGGAGAAAGGTGGCAGCTTGTGCCTTCCTTCTTGGGACAGGCAGGGGGATTTGGTTAGAAGAAAAAAGAAAAAGGAATCATATAGGACTCCAGAGACAGGGTGGTCACCCTGGTCCTGCTGTTAACCAGGCACGCATCTGCCCCTCTCTTTGTACCTCAACTTCTGGTCTGTCGAGAAAATAACCATGCCCTTTCTTACACTGGGCATTGAGACCTAGAAGCAAGCTCTGCCCCATAAGAGACTCAGCACTTGGTACTGTATTTCACATCCCCACTCCTGCTTTTAGCCCAGGCAAGGCTCTGCCTCACGAAGCACAGCTTCACATGCAGTAGGGAGAGCAGGTGCTTTAGGGTGGTGGGAGAAGCTGCACTGCCCTCCTCCAGGCTGTGTGTGCTCAGCAAGAGGGGAGCAGCCCCCCGGACCTGAGCAGGAGCCTTCCTTGGCCTTGTCCCAGCTTCCGAAGGTCCCACAGCAGAGGTGTCCTGGTCCTTTGCCAATGCTCAGTCCCTCCTCCCTGTGCTTGTGCAGCCCAGCTCCCCACGGCACTGCAAGCTGGGGGCATGGCTGTGTGCCTGTGCTGCTCCTCCAGCCCTGTTTTTTCCCACCTGTTACAACTTCTGCCTGTAGTAATGGGTGCATGAGTGGCTTAAACACAGGACGCTATCTGCTGGTTATGTAGGACCCAAAGGATAAAAGTAGAGGTGTGGGTTTAGGGGGCAACAGTCCACCTCAGCAAGAACTGCAGTCACTAATCCACTTCCTGCTAATCCACTCCCTCTCCCCGTACGGTGTCCAGTGTTGCCCAACTTTTCTTCCCCACAAAAAAGGTACAAAATAAGGAGAGAATTTAGCTGCACCCTTTTCAGACAGCTTACAGGTCTCAGACAGATTTCCTAGCATGAAATTCTTAACTTCCACATCTCAGAGGGGGCACTGAAATGTCACTGATGTCTTTTCCGTTTCTTCTTTCTTCTTCATTTCTTCTCATCACAATTCCTGGATCCCGTGCCTCTCGGCAGAGTGGAGGTAAGAATGACTTTCTGTGGCTGCCTGGGGTTTTTTCTGGGCCAAGAAGAAGAATGATGAACAAAGTGGATTTGGTCAATTTGGATTAAATGAAGGGAGTGTGTTTCTGGATTGCAAGCATGCAGATGAGGTGCACGTGATGGGACCACTGAGCTCCTTTATATAGGCATAATTGGAAACTGGGCCCAGATAGATAAGAATGCTTCTATATCAAGCAAGCAATGCTTACATCTGCAAGGGTGTTTAAAATATGGTAGTGGGTAGAATATTCTGGACTAAATCCTGTTCACAGTTACACATCCACAACTTCACTGACCTTACAAATTTACAGGCAAAAGCTTAACTGCAAGTTAAACTCCTGTCTGTAGACAGCCAATAAATGTATTTTGGTTCAGTGATCACCAGATTAGGGCAAGATAAGTTTAGATATTTGTTCCAAGCAGAGTTATGGATGAGTAAAGCCACTTGTATGTGATCAGACATGCACTTTTGCTTAGTATTTTTTGGAGTACTGAAGAATTTGGCTGGCTTATTCTTTTCAGAGTCCTAGCATATTTCTACAAGCTGCAGCGGCAGATCGGTGTGAAAGGAAAGTGAGAGGGTTAGCCTGGGAGGAGGGCTGGGAGCTACTGGGCCTCAGAGAAAAGAGCAGAGCCTGAGAAAGTTTGAGCAAATGGCTTTGCCACTCTGCTGACACAGGCTCCCTGTGAAGGCCCTTGCCTCCCTCACAGGGTCTTGCAAGATTGATTCAGGAAGCTTGTAAGTGATTTAGTGACCACCCGATGATGATGGCAAACCTATGCCCATGTAGGTGTGACAGGCGTGGGAGCAGTGATCAAATGCTCAGCCCTTCTGTCCCACAGTTGTTCTCAACATTTGCTGCACGAAATTCCCTTTCTGTGACAAGGCATTGTGAGAAATGCATCGCTGCTGCTTCTTCATTGCAGCCTGGTCCATGTCTCCCTGCAGGTTTTAAAAAAGCAAGGAAACACAGTATTAGTGCTGGTGGCTCTTGTCAGGCTGCTTCTGCAGCCCACGGAAGTCAGTAGCACAGCTGCCCCATGCATGCCTGTGCCCTCTTTTGCCTCTTGGCAAAGGACTCACCTTTCAGATTAAGTACAATGGATATCATCAGGAAAATGTAAATTAAGTGACCCCTGCCCCGCCAAGGATGGCTCTAAGCAGAGTGCTGTGGGCAGTGCGGTGCTGTGGGGAAACTAGCTCTGTGCCAGGGAGATGTCAGGGGCTGTGGGACCAGTGCAGAATGCTGGGAGGTGCCTGTGTCACATGAAGAGTTGTTTGTGGAGCCTGGGGTGATGCAAGGTGTCACAGCATCACTGTTGTTTTTGTGGTACCTCAAGGAATCAGTGCCTTCCTGTATGTTTTAGCCAATGTGACATATAGGAAAAAATAATAATATAAAAATAAAAATTGACATGGAGCCCAAAGTAGAGCAGCTAAACTAGGGCCAGAGAGTGTCATCTGCAGGAAGTGGCATCTGAAAAGAAGAAATCTGGGAATTCTGTATAATCCCTTGTCCATGTACCTCCAGCTTTCCAAAGAAAAAAAGCAAGAACTCCTAGGGTTGACAATGGGCAATTATTTGAAGAGGGGAAAGAAATAAAAGGCAAAGATACAAATAGCTCTGCTGGCTATTCCAAATGGTTGGCGTGTTGTGAATTGAACTCCCTGACCCCAGTTAAACTGACCGAATGAGCTGTGGGGACAGCTGCACCCAGCCCTCCTCCCTCCTGAATTCGTCTGTCCCCTGCACACAGTGGAGGCTGTTTTCCAGGTTTCCCCTCGCACGGAGGGCACTGCATCCCATGGGCTGCCTGAGCAGAGGGCATACCCTCACCTTCAGCTGCAGACCTTGGTGCCATGGGGTGGCTGTGGGAGCTGCTGGGAGCAGGGCTGACTTGTGCAGACCCTTGCCCTGCTGATGCCTTTTGATGGCCACGGGGAAGAAGGAAGGGAGGGATGACAGCTGTCTCCTGCTAGGTGCAAAAAACACGGGAAAGATAAATAAACGGCCCATGAAGGAGCTGACCCTGCTGTGCTTTTTATTGCTCTGGCACAGCTCTGGCTCCCTGCTTTGTGGCAGGAGTTCACAAAGTGGGAGATATGGTGAATGGAGGAGAGGATGGACCTTGCAGGGAAGCGCCAGAGGGATAACTGCAGAGGCTTGTGACTTCCTCCTCCCTGTATCTCCCACCTAAATGTGTGTGGAAAAGAGGCAGGGTCAGGAGGGGTGCAGGAGCTGAGAAGGGGTAGGCAAGAGCTTGGCTGGTCTGATATTGTGAAGAATTTCCTAGTATGTGTTGTGTGGGACTCACCTGGCTCCTGCTCATCGATTCCATCCAAAATTGAACTGTTGCTGGTCAGGAGAGCAAAAAATCCTGAGTTATCACAGGTGTGCAGCAAGCAGCGTGGCTGATCTCTATTGCAAGGAAGCAGGGAAAAAAAAAGTTTTTCAATTAGAGCCTGGGGCAGGATGAGGGGCCATGTTAGGTCACAGTTGTGCATGATCACCCAGTCTTTTTGCCCACTTATAATGCTAGCAACCCTCGGCCAGAAACGTCCTTGCAGGAGTTTAATTTTTGGGTGGCATTAGCTCTTTTTAGTGGTTATAATCATCTACCCTCTCCTACACCCTCTGTTAGCCTTACAGATGCCACTTTATTCAGAAACAGAGCCTAGGCATCCTGCTCCTGCAGGTATTTAGGGCTGTGAGCTTACCGTGCATGTATGCTCTTGTTCTTAACAGTAAGCTGTACAAGGGTGATGCAGGCTACTGCAGCACGTACAGAGGTGAGGTGTGTAGTGCTATCTTGGCGAAGAATGCTCTTGTTTTCTTCAACTCCTCCTATGCTGACCCAGAGGAGACCCAAGAGCTGCTTGTGCACACTGCCTGGACTGAACTGAAAATGGTGAGTTCATTCTGCCAACCGGCCGCTGAGTCTCTGCTGTGTAACTACATCTTCCAGGAGTGCAATCCCTCGGGAGCTGGGCCAGCTCCAAAACCAGTGTGCAGGTAAATTTAAAAAAATGCTCATCTTCCACTTTCATTTCATGGGGATGTGTAGCCAGCAGGGGAGTGGTGAGGGTCTGTCCAGACCTGTAGTAGCACTGAGTGAAAATGAGCTCTCTAGGTTTGCATGACTTTTCCCTTTGCTCTCTCCTCTGTATGCACAAAGAAGACCTGATCAAGCTCTCTCTGTGCTCATTGCTAGGGTATTGACTGACGTTCAGGCCCAGATGTCTGTTTAGTGGACAGTGCTGAAAAGAAATATCCATTTGAATGATATAATTAATTTAAATAATTATCATATTGCTATCAGTTAAATCTTACTAGGACAGTATGTACTCAATATTACTATCAAAAGTAAATATGGCCACAGTGCTTGCGACAAATCTGGCCAAGGCCCTACACTTGTCATTCAGCACTTCCCACCACGATGAAGATGAAACAAAAAAAGATGACACCAGAGACACTGCCAGAAGTTGTACCTGCTAAACCAAACTTCCCATATGGCCCTTGAATCCTCCCATATGCAGAGAAATGTGCATTGAAACATGGCTGGGAGCACCCTGAGGAATCCAAAGCATCTCCCACTACAGATAGTCCATGGCTGACAGGTGTTTGTGCAACATGTCCCAGCGACAGAGACACTATTCCCTCTTTGTGCAACCTCCTGAGCTGCTCATCCCTCATTGCTCTATGACCACAGAGACAAGTTTCTTCTCTTCCTCTTTGCAATGAGATTTTAAGTCTTCCCCAACTTCTCAGACTAGAATAAAACAGATTTTTCCAAGCTCTGCTCATAGCTCTGGCTTGCCTGGCCTCTGAAGCTTCTGCTCCTCATCTTTCCTTAAGTGCTAAATATATATATATCCTCCAGCCCAGGTTCTGTTAGTGTTAACTATAATGGAATGATGATTGCTTGGTGTGCCTTGCAGAGGACAACCCCACGTAGATGTCTCTGGGTGAAGTTTTCTTTTTTTCTAACAACGTAACTGTTGGCCGCAACTGATTCATGTCCATTTTCAGCCCCTGGAGGACTGTTGTCTGGTCATTAGCCATTTTGTGTTTGGGCAGCTGACATCCCTGTCTAAGTGCAGTACTTTGCTCTTGTCCTCCGTGAACTGCATCTTAAAACAAATTATTCATATTTGTCTTTATGGGAGAGCAGCCCCAACTCGAGTGTCCCAAATGAAATACAAGTCCTCTCTGCAGACATGGCAAGTACTCTGCCAGCTGGACTTGGGCCAGATGTAGTCTACTGGCAATTATTTTTCCAGTTATGTAGGGGCTTTTTAGGACAATCAGCAACATGTTGTCTTTGTAATCTGGACCTTTCTGATTGTTCTTCTTTTACTATCTCTAAAGCAAAAGTACAGAGGAAAATCTCACTACAAAGCTTGACAAAAGATTATGTTCCCTGTTTGGTGCCTATGCTGTTCGGTATTCCTCCTCCAGAGAAGTAAGGGCACATACCCTATGAAAGAAGTGTATGTGTAAGTAACAACAGATAATCATGCAGCCAAGTACTGAAACTTGCTTTTTGCTGGCAGACTCCTCCCTGCTGCCTTGTTCTGCTCTTTGTCATTGTACCCTTTAGTACATGATCTCTCTGCCTATATTCAAGATGTGTGACAGTATTAGTATCTGAGCCACACATGCACTGCACATTTGTCAGCTAAGGATTTTGCACAGTACTCCACGAGGCATTTCAGTGAGATCTGGGTATTGCTTCGTTTGCCCCTGCTCACAATTGGCCCTGCAGGACCAGAACTCATGGTGATTCAACTGAAGACCTGCACTTCTGAGGCATGTCTGAAGTCAAAGTGATATAAATCAGCATAAATCTGCACTTGATCTTGAGCTAACAGGCACAGCATTTGCAAATATGTCTAGATCTTAAGGGACTTGGCTGGCATCATCTTTCTTCAAAGCCACGAGTCAATGCTATGTTTTCTTCCCTTTAATGATTTTTCCCTGTGATTTTAATGCAGGTTTAAATACAGCTTTCTTCATGACAAGAGCCATGGAATGGCATACTTCCTGTTCCCAGAGCATATCAGCTGGATGACAGTTCCTCCAAAACCCTAACCCAATACTCCTTTTGATAAGTCAGACATCTAATACATACTTTTGAACAGTCGAGACCCCTGGGGCCTCTTGAACAATTTCACATGGTCTTGGTTGCTTTCCAATTATTTTATCTGCTTTTTACTGACAACTTTATACCTTCTGTAGAAACTGCCTAGACTACACCAGGTTTCAGATGAAGTACTTCATGAGGAAGAATTTAACTATCATCTGAGATGCTGGAGAATTCTCCCAGTTTGTGAGGGACATATTTCTCTCAACATACTTCCATGTGTTTTAGTCTTGTTATTTATTCTCAACACCATTTTTTCTCTCCCCATGTCATTTTTTATGTTCATTTTGGTTTGGAAACTAGCTAGCAAGAATAACTACTGACAAAAGACTGGGTAAAGCTTTAACAAAAATAATCAGGGTAAAGCAAGATTAAGTGAAACAACATCGGAAAAATTTTACTTCATGTACATGAAGATGCAATTTGATTAAGATTAGAGTTTTCCTTTTTTTAAAGTGATGTCTCATCTCATAATTCTTGATTACATCTGCCTTTTACCACTGGATGCTTCAGCAAAAGAAAATACTTCAATTTTTGCTTCATCCACTGCTGATATGAAGTGACCAGGCTGCAGGGAACAGTCTCACGTTGGAAAATGTTTCACTTCAGTCGGGTCTGTGTGTCCCCACCTCCTCTTAAACAGTCCTTTGTAGTCCCTAAAATGCTACTGGCCCACTTGTCCTCTTCTGCTGCTGCCATTCTTTGTCCATCTGTCATTTATATGACATAAAATTTCTAATAATAATCTGAAGTAATCTTTGCATATGATCTCATCAAGCTCTCTCTGCTCAGGATTAAGTGTTATAACAATGGTATGAACCTGGCTCAAGGAGACTGACCATTTCTCCCTCTGGAAAGATCCATTCCTGGAGTGGATTTATGGGTGAAGATATGCCCCACCCATAACAATGCTGTAGTGGACAGGATTGCAGAGGACTGATCTTTTGCATTCTGCAGTTGTACACTGAATAGAGGGCTTGTTTAAGGATGCTCAGGCTTCAGGAGTGAAGGCAGCTAATGCGGTCCAGATTTTCCAAGTGTCGGCCAGTGCTTCAAAGGCAAGATTTTCTCATTTTCCTAGCTAAACATTTCTTTAATTCAGAAGGTCATTCCTGTTCCACATGTTGTTTAACATAAAAAAAGATAAATTATGCCATCTGGCTACATTCTAGCTTTCATGGAAGTGAGGAAGGAATAAACCAGCACTGGCTAAAACCAAGCAAAGGGCTGCTGGGCTTCGATGGCTTCAACCTGCAGACTTGAAAGGCATCCATTGCTGTTGCAGAAAAGCTGCTGTACTGGTATAATTCCCAATGGCCTCTGTCCTTCAGGTGCTTTAGAAGGTTTGCACTGTTGGTAGTAGTCGTCACTGAAACTCATGGCCATCTGCTCTTGCCAAAACTTTTGGCAGGCTATAAGTAAATAAACTGCATCAGCCCACCAGGTGGTGAATTTGGCTAGAACCTTCACCATGGACCTCAGCTGTACCTTTCTGCATCACTGTGTCCTCTCCCACACCTGCCAGCAGGTGTGGTGGTCAGGAAGGATGTGAATCTGCAAAGGACTGCAGCTGAGCTCAGCAAAAGTAATCTCTGCACATAACCTCAAAGCTGGTTTTGCAACTCAGGCTCTCAGGAATGAGTACATAAATAGGCAAATCACCAATAAATTGACTAATGCAACAAACCCTCAAACTTTCCACTATGGTACAGGTGTTTTATGTATGTATGTATGTATGTATGTATGTAAGTATCCAAGTTACAACTTATTTATTTTGCTAGAGCAGATATTTCTGCCTTGGCCTTTTTAACAAAGACTTTCTGATCTAAGGAACATTTAAACATCTAAAGCACTTCTTGTCAGTGAATGTTTCACATCATTATGGAGATAATACATAAGGTAGGAGACCGTTAGGTCTCTTGTTTTACCAGGTACTGTAAAGGTTTTGCCGCAGGCACCTGACAGCTAAAAAAGGGACTGAAAGGTGTCTGTGGATAAAAGAAGAGATTTGGATGAGTGATTCTCTGAGATTAAAAACACAAGCAAATATTTATTTCAAGAAGATTAAGAATTGCAGCTCACCTCCTGTCTTTAATGGATGACACTTTAATGTATAATTTACAGAAGACAGATGACATTTTTAGAATGTACTGAAAAATGCTAAGGTAACTCCACGACATGATGTTTATTAGTAGAACATGGCAATAAATCTGGAGGAAAAGATGGGAACAAACTCCTCACAAACTGTGATGTGTGTTGTGTTTTAAGCATAACCCTGCTTCATTAAAAATACAGCTTTGTGGGTTTCCTAAAGGAAGCTGTTACATTTTATATAGAATTTCCTGTATAGTTTATGAGCCAGACAGATGGGCTTAAAGAAGCATAGCCCCATAAATGGATTTCTGTGATCCTGCATAACCCCTGCACACCACTGCTAAATGCAGCCATTTTTATCAAGCCATTGACTGCTGTATTTCACTGTTTTTTGCAAAATAATGTAGAGAGAATTGCCTTGCTGTAAAGGATCTCTACTGCTTTAAGGAATGGCTCTCAATGGAGGAAAATGCTCAGAAGGGGATTTACAAGCCAGGGCTGATGCTGCTCACTCTTCCTGAATGCAACAGGCTACCCAGCCTGCACCAGGACCCCAGTGCCTGCACCCACATCCCATTCTTTGGTAAGGTGGCACACGTTGCCCATTGTGTGTAGAGCTGTGTTCTCGGTGAGGGAAGGGGGAAGGATGCAATCCATAATTTACAACTAAAGTAAAGGCTGATGGTGGGTAATGTCTTGTCAGTGCCTGTGCATGGCACTGTGACAGCCACATTGACTGTTTGCTTGTCTCATCTGACTGGGGTGTGGGAAAAATCCCTCAAGCAAATAAAGCCTGGCTTTTGTATTGAGAGGCCCATAACAGCCTCATTCCAATATCAGTTTTAATGATGGCAAAATTGCCATCCAGGTGCCATTTCAAAAAAACAAGCCTCTTAAGCACTTCTGAGAGGGAACTTTTTCCTATAGCATGCTCCTAAGCAAGCAGCAGTTATATCACATCCTGGACAACCCCTCCTTATGTCTTGTCTTTTTACAGATTTTAAGAAGGAGAATATAACCAGTAAGTAGACTGCGCCAGGCTCTATGTTTCTAGAGATGAGCATGATATTCTTTCTTTAAGGTGCAGCTTGCACGGCATTTTTGTGGTTTGCTCTGGTCCTTGCTGGCTGGGTTCAGGTCTTTACCAGGGAATGCCTGAGCTTCCACATCCAAGGCATGGGGAAACACATTTCCAGTTCTTCAGGGCTTGGGGAGAACGTGGGCTGATAACTGTTGAAGGTGATTAGAGAGGCATAGTGCTTTTAGGTGGTACCCTCCCTACCAGCTGTTCCCCCTTCTTTCTACCCATTGCTTCTAGTTTTGCTTTACCCATATTTGGTATTTCTGATACTGCTACCAAGGTCATCTCAGCCTTATATGCTGTTACTGACATGGTTACCTACATCAGGCTGGCCTTGCAAGACTGTACTACCCAAAAGGCCCCAGCACTCTCCTCCAATCATCTCTGAAGTCTGGACATTTCTTGTGTGATCCCCCCATGACCAATGGTGAGACCCAACTGTCCCCCACAACACTGCTGTGACTTCTGTTGGCCTTCTGCTCTGCTACTGGTCACAGCTGAAACATGCACATCCAGCTCTTCCAACTGACATGCAACTGCAGTTTAAAGCTCAGCCGCTCACCTGGTCCCATTGGAAAAAGGAAGAACAGTGCTTCCTTCCTGCCATGCTTCTGAGCAGGCAAGGTCTGCAGATTTGGCAGTGGCAGGAAACTTCTGCGTGGAGATAGAAAGTGAAAAAGGTGAAATCAAGACTTCTGAGGAATTTTCTTTCATTGGAAGGCCTTGGCTCCACCTGGCCACCCAAGTCCCAGGCGCCCGTAGTTGCACTCCTGGGAGACAAGCACTTTAGCACCCTGTGAGCACTCCAGCATCACTGCACGATGCTGACAGCCTGCAGCTGCAGCCATCCCCTCCCTTGGGGAAAGGAGCATGAGGGAGGGATACCAGCAAATGAGTGGTGCGTTCATTGGATGGTTTCAGCCTCCTCTTGGATGTTTGCAAGTTCAGGACATGGCCTCTGTCTCCTGTGTAAATGTGTGACCTTTTTGTTCAGCTTTCATTGTATTTTCCCAGGGTGGCATTGCACGGATGTGAACTACTTGGTCATGAATCAGGGAGACAGTAACATTTTAGTGATGTTGCCCCCTCTTTTTTACTTTAGAGCCACTGTTATGTGCACAAAGGTTTGGGGAGCATGAACTGAACTGTTTTGTAGCTTGCCCATCAAAGTTATTCATTAAAGTCCAGCTGGACCACCTTTATTATTCCCTCTGTCCTCATTGTAGCAAGACCATGTAGGAGATCATATGCCTTTTCCAGGCCACCAAAGGCTCAGGGGTGCTTAGTCTTGCTGTGCCCCTAAAGCTCTCCACATTTCTCCTCTTAGGAGAGGATGTTTATTTTGGATCCATGAAAAAGTTTTTTTCATGTTGGTTCCTAGCTCAGTCATGAGGCAGGTTTCAGGCATTGCTTTCCTTGCCTTTGAATGCAAGACATTTAAAATGCTGGGCTCAGACACACAACTATGTTCTAGGGCAGCTTAACAAGATTTTACACCTCTGCAGAGCTATAGATGCTGGTTGTGTGGGGGCTGCTAGCTTGTTGCAGATGTGAAGCATAACGTGATAGCTTACATACCAGTCAAAGTCCAAGTTACAACATTTTACTTTGGATTTGTGATGGGTTAAGTGGGTTAAGTGTGCTCACGAAGTCAATGGCCATTCCCACACTGAAGGTGTTTGCATGCCTTGGGCTACAGGACTTGACCCTGTGTTTGAACTCACTCACGTGGAGCAAACATTGTCATGGTGGTGTTTCTACCTACCCATGTGTAGTGCCTGGTGAAACTTCAGAAAACTAAGGGCCTATAAAAGACCCATAACTGCAATCCTGAGTGCAGTGCACGATGCAAGAAGAAAAGAGCGGATAGTCATCATGATGCATTTACTACGTTCCTCCTACGGGAGAAACAGGACAAGCTGTGAGGATAAATTAAAACACATAACCTTTGTCTCAAACTTCAAAACTTATACAAAGCTTTCATGAAGCTGAAAAAGATTTGCTTAAAACCCCCTTTATTTTAGAACAGGTCAGGTTTCCTCCTGTTTTTCTATTTCTGACCTGCAAGTTTAAGAACACAATAGAAAATAAAATTATGACAACAGTGTTTTCTGGCTTGTTGATTTACATAACAAGGTTAATAATGCAGTGGACCCTAATGCATGCCATCAACCAGAATGTTATCCCCTGGTCAGCAAAGTTTATGTAATATTAGCTAGCATGTGTTAAAGTGTGTAAGGCTGCATTTCCTCTGTTGTCTTCCTGCTTCCTAGATTATGCCAGCATGCATTAAAGTCTCTTGTGAGGACAGGTGGTGTCTACATTTATGCTTTGGAAACATATTCCTGCAGTAAAAATTCTCTCAAGATTTTCTGCTTAATTTTTCTGCAGCCAGGATAAGCTTTATGTATGGAAAATGAACTACTCATTCTTCATTATAAAGAACATTATTTTATACTGTTCCTTCAGATCTGTAGTTGCCTTTAGTGTGTAGTTTCCACCCATGCTGGAAACCATATGCTGTTTCCAAATATTCAGTCTAAGAGGCCAAGCCCTGTACAGAGGCAGGGAGGAAGGGATACCACTGTGGGAACTTACAAATTCCAGCCCTCTGCTACCTAACCCAGGAACGTGGGTGTCTTCTTGTTAGTGCTCCTGTAAGACTGCAGGCTGGGAATCATGCAACCAGTGCCGCAATTTGCTTTCTGCCTTGGTTTGGCATGGGTGGGTTCACTGTGGTTCTGCCCTGCACTTTCTGCATGGAAGTGCCGTGAACTGGATAGATGCAGCACAACAAGGGCAGGCATGTGGCCCATTTTCTCAATCTAGAAGAGCTCCAGCTCCCTCTTTGGAGTTTTACCAGATTTGATCTTATGTATTGAGCTCAAAATCCATTTAAGCGCAAACAGGAGGCTAAGCAGTTCCCTGCCTGCAGTTGTCTGGTCCTTTTATGTGTTTCAGATCTGTTGCTAATTGCCATGTGCTCTTGTGAAGTTTACTCTTGGGACTCCCCGCTGCAGGACATGGTCTGAGATGCCTTGACCCCATATGTTTTTTCTTCCCCCAGGGACTTGCTACAGTGGCAATGGCCAGTTTTACCAGGGCTGGGCCAACATCACAGCCTCCGGCATTCCCTGCCAGAAGTGGAGTGACCAGGTGCGCATCACTGTGAGACCCACCAAATGGAGAGCCATGCTTGAGGTCTGCTTTTCCAAAGAGTTTCCCAGAGCTGGACAGCCCAGTCCCAGTGGCAGGGATGAGCAAGGGACAGGTTGCCTTCATTCTTGAGTTCACTGGTGTTTCACATCCTCTTTGTATTTTAATCTGCAAGTTCCCGTTCCTGTGGCAAGACACGTTCTCTGTCATTCTGGCAGGCTACTAAAAGGCTGTTTTACCTCTGCCTTTCTTTGCTCCTTTGTTTTATTTAGTTTTGTTCTGCTAGTACCAGCAGGAAAAATTATACTGAAACACTAATCCAGCTTGTTTCCTTGTCCAAGGCTCCCCACTTGCACAGGAGAACTCCTCAGGTTTTCCCTGAGCTGTCTGATGCTGAGAATTACTGCCGCAATCCAGGAGGTGAGAATGAACGTCCCTGGTGCTACACAAAAGACCCATCCGTGACCTGGGAATACTGCAGCGTGTCTCCCTGTGGAGATGGTAGGCAACTGCAATTTATGATTTCTGCCACTGTGGTTGTTTTGGGACCATGCAAAGTGTTGGCATCCTGAGTGTGCGTGGCTGCACTGATCTGTTCTGTCTTCTGGATTCGGTCAGTCCTGGTTCTTCTCATAGGTTCACTCAGCATCTTTAAGCAGAAAGTGTAACATGCACCTTAAAGACGGGAAAATGAAGATATACGAATCAAGCACCTTGCCCCAGATAATATTAAGGCCAAAGGATGAAATCAAATTTCCTGTGTTATTATGAGAAATGTATTTGCCACACTGTTTTAAGGAGAAGGTAGGGTTTTGGACATACTTTCTGAAGTTGTTTTGCTTCTGATGATTTTTTTTCAATAATAAAAACCAATTCTAACTAAAAACAAATCTGAAAAAGATGGAAACATCTTCACTCTGTGATGTTGAAACGAAGCCCTTCTGTTATTTCTTGTTTAGAGAACAGAACAATTTTTCAAACTTATTTCATCCAAGAAGCACAGTTTCTGGATCACAGTGTTTGGAAATTCTGCTTGCACAGAGAGCAGGGATGCTGTGGACTTAAGGAAACACAAGTCAGTATCAGTTTAGCTGGCCTTAAAAACAATCGTTTAAATTTCTTTTGTACTCATTGTGTGTACAGATTAGCATTTTCTAGAATGTCTCAGAAAATACTCAGCAAGTGGCTACCTGAATATTTTATTTTTTTTCCTAAAGATAACAGCCAAATGAATTTTACACTAGTTTACCATTTTTGCCCCATAAAGAGACTGAGATGCAAATTGTTGGACACAAGGTGATATTTCAGGAGAGTTTCACTGTGTGCTTACTTAGTCTTACACTCATATCTGCAGATTCCTTTTAGGACACATGATATATTGTGGTCCGCACTGCAGATCATTGATCTTTCCCACTGCAGACATTACTATATTTGAATACTGTTGAGACTATCAGATGTGATCTTCCATCTGTAACTCCTGCAAACATTCCTTCCCAAAATTGTGTTCCCAGCTCAATGGGAACTATGTCTTTGTCTTTACCAGATCCTGGGTTTTCACATTTGGCAAGCAGAAATGGGTTTTGCTTCCTGCAAACCAGGCTTTCCTAGTGTGGTCTTCTCATGCAGTCATAGGGTTGTATCTGTAATGTCAGTAATTCCCCAGATATCAGGCTGACTCTATAACTACCTCTTAGAAAAAGCCCTATAAACTAGCACAGACATAACCTTTTGATTTTGTTTGCATTACAGCATCGTTATCACTAGGAACAAGAAAACCAAACGGAGAGACTTCAAATCTCCCCCCTCCTCCTCCCTTTTCCCCTACGTACTCCATGACTGTTATAATTTCAATCATCTCCAGCTTTGCCCTGGTTGTGATCCTTGGCATTGTCACCCTCGTTTGCTGCCGTCGGCGAAAGCAGTGGAAAAACAAAAAAAGGTAAAACTTGGGACTTAATTGAAGGCAACAAATGCTGTTTTGAAAGAGGGCTTGCCTGTTTCTGAGACCATAGTCCTGTGAATGCCTGGTAGGGGAGAAGCAGCCCTCCCTTTGCCTGTGGCAGCCCAGTGCAAGCTCTGGAGAGTCCCTGTGCCAGGGCAGAAGATGGCCTGGTGGCTGTTTTGGGGACACGGCATGACACCTTGCTGCAAGGCTCTTTCAACAGCCCAGTGCAAGCTCTGGAGAGTCCCTGTGCCAGAGCAGAAGATGGCCTGGTGGCTGTTTCGGGGACATGGCATGACACCTTGCTGCAAGGCTCTTTCAATAGCCCTGCTGCACCTCCCTTTTACATCCTGGAAGAAACCAACTCTGATGGAGATGCATATAGTTATCTCCTGGTTGGGGGCTGTGCACACACTGACCGAAAACTGCTCCGTTGTTTCAGAGAGTCAGAGACACCAACACTCACCACTCTGCCCTCCGAACTTCTCCTGGACCGGCTGCACCCCAACCCCATGTACCAGCGGATGCCCCTTCTCCTCAATCCAAAATTGCTCAGCCTGGAGTATCCCAGGAACAATATCGAATATGTGAGAGATATTGGGGAAGGAGCATTTGGGAGAGTCTTCCAAGCAAGGTAAGAGGACTGTGTGCAAGACCTCTCTATCTGGAGGTACCTGGGAAAAATTGGCAGTTGGGCAACCTCTTATCTGGGCACTGGAAATCAATCAATCAATCATTCATTCATTCATTCACTCAAACCAAAATCAAATGCATGTTTACCAAATGGTACACTCAGGCTTGAATAATTTTTTCTGTTGTCCACTGCTTTCTGTTGATATTTGTTAAACTTTCATCACAAATTACTCTCCTGTTGTTCTCTCTAGTAGATGTAATGTCTTACTCACATAACAAAGTCTGGTGTAAAAGCTTAGCTAAATTTATCATTGCTGGTTTTGCCAAGAGTATTGCCTATGACATGTGACCTATTGTGAAATTCTTGCATTTCCCAGTATTTGCAAATTGTCAGTGTGTGGCATCCTCCATTATAACGCCAACACGGCCCAGTAATTACCAAAGAGGGCAATGCGTCATGTTACAGCTGGGTCCTGACCCAGTTTCCATTTGATTCAGTGGCAAAACCAAACAAAACCAAAAATACCCTAAAAATCCAATCCACTTAGGCCAATAGTATTTTTTTGTGTCCCCTTCAAGTTACTCATTTTTTATTCTTGGAATTTGCAGACATTGTTGTCTGTTTTAAATTTAAGGTATTAGATGAGATCCCAGTTCTGTTAAATCTCATGGGAGGTGAGATCATGCACTTCTTCAAATGTGAAAAATATTTCATTGAAAAACCCAGACATGAACCCAGTCCTACCTAGACTGAGGTGGATGAAGGTTGTCTTGTAAGCCTTGACAGAGTTCATAATTTCTGTAGGACAGTCTTTGGCCAGTACTGGTCTCCTTGGAAAATCCCATTCCCAAATTTCTGAAAGGAAGTGGACAGACTGTCAAGTTCCATGTTCATTCAGGATGGTTTTCTTTGTCCTTTACAGTTAACAAGTCTGGGATGTGGCTGATTTTCTAGCTGTACCTGGAGCAGCATATGATGACCTCAAAAAAAACCCCAGGGGAATATCAGAGTCCCACCATGGGCCAAGACCTGCCTGGTGGAACTGCTCCCATTGACTTCAAAGACAAAGGACTCTCCTTGAAAAAGCAGTCATAGTGGCAGATACTTTTAATCTTTATGGTTGTGCTGTGGATGTATCTGCTATAAAATGAGTTATGTGCATGTTAAATGTGTTAGAGTGGGGAAACATTTTCAATAGTTTTGATGGATTTTTTTTTTAATGAGGGAATGCATTTTTTTCTAATGGAAGAAATGAAGGCATAGTTTAGTACAGAGAGAGCTAAAAATAACAAAGTTCAAAGGGTGCACAGTGGGAAAATCACACATGCTTAGCCTGTGATTGATTGTTAGCCTGGATGGCAAAGCCAAACACATCTGAGCTTGAAAGGAGAACAGAGCTGTAGGAACTGTGCCACAGCTGTGCTTGGGGCCCTGCACGCCAGCCACTGCAGGGGCACAGGGCAGCCCTCATCCCAGCCTCAGCACAGCCCACGGGATGCCCTGCAGAGCGTTGCCTTCCCACTTGTGAGGTGGGGGTCTTCACCATGCTGCAGGTGTGCAAGCAGGGCAGGTGGTCTTCCTGCCAAGTGTTGCTTTGGCCCTGTGCTGGGAGCTTGCATATACTTTAAGCACTGCACAGACCTTTCTGAGCTGGAACTGACTCCTACCCACATCAAGCATAACCTTTCAAAGAGCATTCAAATGTCACTAAAGCACTGGGTTAAGCAAGTGCTAAAGTGGTGTAAGAGACCTTTTAAGTGGATTTCATCCACCCCAGTGGTGCCATTTCTTTTAATTAAAACTTTTTGCTATTGTCAGTGGAAACTGGGAGAAAAAGAGATGGAAAAAACCCACAACCAACACATCTTCTTAGCCAGCGTTTGCTAAGTGGAGAGTACCGTACCCTGAGAAATGCCTGCTTTCTGTGGCTCAGTGGAGGAGCCACAGGAATACTGCTTCTGAGGGGCTTCCTTATGTTTATTAATATCTCTATCAAAAGTCCCTCCAAGGCCTTGTATTTCCAGGGAACATTTAAGTCACTGGCGTTTCTGTGCACCGCTGGCAGATCAGCGCAGACTGCTGCTCCAATAGCACCAGCTGTGCATCCCTCCAGGTTACTGAAGCTATCACAACTCAAATTGTTGCCTTCCCATCTCAGATGGATAAAATGTACTTGTCTACGTGTGTTAAATGGACATCTCAAGCTAAGTTTAGCAACCTTCTTACTTCTACTGGTCTCATGTTTCTCCCTCTCCTGTAAACACAGCTCTGCACACAGTGCCAGCAATGCCTTTGCCAGTTGGCTTGCTGTGAGTCCTGATTCAGTGTTTACTCAGTCCTGGGTCAAGCAACATGTTAGGACAGGAAGTGTCTGGCTATCATTTACCAGCTTCTCCTGAAAGGCTGCCATCTTCACTGGGGGCAGCTTCACACTGGAAAGGATGAGGAAGTAACCAGTTACCCTAACAGATGTCCTTAAAACAAGATTCAGGACCTGGCTCAGGACTGTCCTGACTGGGTCGTGATGGCCAACTCAGGATCCTCTGTCCCTGGGAGGACCATGCTGGCCCCACATGCCACCGGAGCACCAGCCCTGTGCAGTTCCATGCAGACCAGCATGCAATTTTTCTCCCAGAGCTGGAGCTGCATGGTCCAGGCTAAGCCTGAAGCCCAGGATTGCCTAAAAGCCTGAATGTGGGATCTTTGCTAGCAGGCCACTAGACTCCTACTGCAAAGGCACAGGTTGTCATCTCTGCAAGAGACAAGGCTGTCCCTAAGTTTGGAGTTTCTCTGACAGAAGTCTCTTCATGTTCTTTCCAAGTGCAAAGGGTGTTTCTTTGACCTGCTGTCTCAAATATAGCTGAAAAACAGTGTGGATGTTAATTAAAAAAAACACACAATAGAACGAGCCCATGCCAATTCAGAGCGCTCTCCTGCCCACATACAAATTTCTCCAAAGGGCAGGGTAAATGTAGGTCTCCACCAGCCTCAGTAGATGTTGCTTGCATCTTTTAATGATTTAACAGAAGCTACTTGGCTGTGATGCTGAGGAAGTTGGGGGACAGGACACAATCTCAAATACAAGTTCAATCTGCTCCTCAGTTTTTTCACAGTTACTGCCCTGGAAAGAAAACCTGACTGGAAACTTAAAGTCAGGCACCCTCTGTAGATAGGCTCTGGGTGAAATTCTGAACTGCACCACTGGTTGGGTCTTTGAATGGCAGGTACCTGAAAGCCAAATCCTGCCAGTGTTGCACAAATATGAAGAAAGCAAGGACGCCTGCCTGTGCTCAAACAGTGGACATTTCTTCTAAGCATTTAGATAATCATGAGAGAGGAAACCCAAGGTAATTTCTGTTGATGCTTCCCAGTTCTAGAAGAAATTTACCTATTTTCTAGAAAACACTCCATGTTCTGGCCTGCCGTCTGAATTCTCCTGGTTAATTTCAGAAGCAGCAGCTTCTCATTGCTCACCTGCAGATGTGCTCCTATCCCTTGTGCAAAAACTGTCTTTTGGGCATCAAAGAGGTCAACTTCAACACCTCTCTGCCAAGACTGCAAACAGTGTCTGTCTCTGTTACAGCTTAGTGTGATTTTCCAAGGTCTGCTAAGAACTGGGCTGAAGTAGCACATGAGTTACCAAGGGTGAAATTACGCGCTGTTGCCTGAAGGCCTGTTAAAAGGCTTTGTGCAGCTTAATCTCACTTAAGTTACATTTAGGTTAGTTTACATTACAGATTTCAGTGAAAAGTAGATGGATGGCTGTACTTCGGGCTTTAGCCGGGGGTGAGTTTCTCTCTCTGAAGCCTACAAGATGGAGCTGTGCCTGCCCCTGCGTTGGCACTGCACGGTCTGCACTAGGTCTGCTATTGAGTGATGAGTGGTAATCTACAATGAAGCTGTTTCAAAGAGATAAAGGCCCTCCTTCTTTTACTTTTAAATGCTCTAATGGTTTCTTCAGGCTGTTGCTGCTGACTCTCTTGAGTGCTAAGATTAGACAGCAGCTGGTAGGTGCGTGTACTTCTCCCCTCCTACTAGATTGGAAACTTGCTGGCAGCACAGGGGAAAAAAAAGACATTTTTCTGTATGGAGGCAGTAGCAGACAAGTTTGGAGTCTGCTCCTCTACTCTAGTGTGCCGGATCTCCTCACCCGAGCGTCTCAGCTGTGATCTGGACACCTGTGAGATTCCTTTCTTGATGGGCACCCTGCCGTCTTCTGATATTTGACATTTACAGCTTCCAAGTGCATCTGTTGCAACTGCCATATGTCTGGAGTAGATGACAAGGAAATTGGAAGTTTGCTTTGGAAATTGGAACCTCCTCTTGGGGCTACTGAGCAACAAAATAACCTGCAATTTGAGCAATGGGAGGGCAGTTGGGCCAGCGTAGTAACATGATACATAAATGGGCACCACTCTTCATGGGCTTTGGCTGGCTACTTGTGAGGAACGTATTTTAACTGCAGGACCCCTGGGAAGAATTGGTGTGGGCAACGAAATGCACATCTGAGATTTGATGCATGTTTGAAGAGTGGAAAGCTACTCTTCCTTGGCAACAGCTACCCCTAAATCTTTGGCAGGCCCATCTAATTAAACTTGTTGAGGGTGCAGTGACCTGTGGATAAGAAAACAAATTGAGTCTGTGATTGCTCTAAGTCAAGAAGCTCTGTTTCCTTGTGCCTCTCAGCTCTAGCTGAAGATTCACCAGTGTCTTAACACAGGTGTATTCATGTATTACCTTGTTTTTCAGACAGGACACATGTATGCTTTGTGTATTCTGTCACCTGTTTCCACAAAACTTGCAGGAGCATAACTATTTCCTAGAGCTCAGCTCCACCATGTTAAATTCAGCTGAAATTAGCCAATGTGTTTATAACTTGTTGAATTACAGGCACACACACATGCCACACACATGCACAGAGAACAGTGGGAAAAGGCTGTTTTCCTTACAAAACCAGGGGAACATACTTACTGTAATTGTTACTTTCACTCTAATAGTAGCCAGATGTACCATTGTGCCAGGTATGGCACAAGACTCAGTGAAAAGAGGCTCTTTCAACATTTTCATATAAAACAGGTTTATTTTTAACTCTGGTAAGCTCAGTCATTACACCCCAAAAGGGAATTGATTGCACTGAAGAGTTTGTCTTGCCCTCCATGAAGCTTCTGATGTGACCTCCAAGCCAGGGAGAGGTTATTGCTTACCAGTCTATTATTTCTCTATCTCTTTGCCAGTCATGGTAAAGAGTTTGTAAGCAGAAAGAGCAGTGATCAAAAAAAGCTATACTGGATTTAGTCCCCCCTGAACTAAATCATATGTCTTTGTACTATGATAGTACAGATGTGCCCGAGAGGTGAAAAGGATCTTTCATGTTCCTTTAGTTGGTGCTGGGGCCTTCTGCCTTTTTTTTTTTTTTTCTGTCAGCCTACTCTTTTGCACCAGAAACAGATGCTATATTTGGTGTGCGTGCATCCATCATTGATGTTTTCCTCTCTCCCCTCTCCCTGCAGGGCCCCAGGGCTGCTGCCGTATGAGCCTTTCACAATGGTGGCAGTGAAAATGCTGAAGGAGGAAGCATCCGCAGACATGCAGGCTGACTTTCAGAGGGAGGCAGCACTCATGGCAGAGTTTGACAACCCAAATATTGTCAAGCTTTTAGGTATCTGAATAAGGCGCCTATGTGCAGGGTACCGCCTTCTGCAAATCTGCTTTGGGATTGTTGGGGGTGCAGGGGTGACCACACGTGCATGACTGGCACTTAATGCAAATGGCAATGCTGGTCTCTTTTGCAAGAGAACATGCCTCTTGCAAAAGAGGTGAGCTCTTCTATATGCCACTGCATGCTCTGCTAAATTATCCACCAGAACATGCCTCAAAATGTAGGTCTGACGCTGTTGCCTTAATGGGATGGTGCATAGGAATAAACCCTCCTCATCCTGCATTGAGTATACTGTTGACCAGCTCTGCTTCCAGTTTAATAGACTGGCACATTGTCTTGAAGGGAAGGCACTATCTTCCTGGAGCTGTGATTTATTTTGTGGGCACATAAAAAAAACATGCACAAGTCTTGTTAGTTTTATGGGTGCCACTTACTATTGTGATGTCTGAACACTCACCAACATTAAAAAAAACCAAAATGAAAGAAATAAATTGAAAAAGCCAACCACAAAAAAGGTCCCTTCCCTTCCCTTCCCTTCCCTTCCCTTCCCTTCCCTTCCCTTCCCCAGTTTATAGGGTTTTTCAGAAAGTCTTGATGCCACACCTTGGCTAATAGGGCATTCTTCTGTAAAGAAAGCTGCCAAATAAAATTTTATTTCAGTAAATTTTTCAGGTTTTGACTGAAGTAAATGTTGCTAGCCACCTTCACCTGGCAATCCTGCTCTAATTTTTTGTATGGAGATCTGATCCCGATGAACACGCAGCTGAGATCTTAATTTATTGCAATAGGAAGCTCCACAAAATTTGGAAATAGATAAATCCCAGTTTTGGGAAAGCTGGGTTGATACAAGTAGTTTGGCTACAGAAGAGAAAAGCAGGAAATGCCCCAAACTCAAATAAACACCGTGTTTATTGTCAACACATTTTAGATCAAGAAAAGGCAAAGGTACAGGAAGAAACTAGTTTCACATAGTGGGGGTGTGTGGAGAAAACAGCCATGTTGTTGAAGACAGCTTGGACGATAAAGATGTCACATATGCTCCTCATGCTTGTCAGATCCTGATTTTATCACACTGGGAAGAGCTATCTGTTTTTCCCCAAAGATTCAAGCATTAGGTCATCAACAAGAATTTCAGATTTCACAATAAGTTGGATCACCAAATGCTAAGTGATGGCCCTAGGAAAGCAAAACACATGCATTTTAAATGCTGGCTTTTGCTGGTTGGCAATTTAATATTTTTTGCCATATTGCTGTATGCTCAGTAAAACTGGTGGGAGTGGGGTCCTCTGCTGATGCAGGTCCCCAGTAAAGCTGGTATAGGGCCAAGCATGTGCCCTTGCATGGGACTAGGTTCTGCATCTGTCAGATGTGGCAAATCTCTCCTTTCTGATGTCTATTTTTTCTTTTTTGAGTATCTGTCATGCCAAAAGTAATTTCTGCAACCAACATTTTTTGCATGAGCTGTTTAAAAAAAAAAGAACACCCCAGCAGTTGTAGTGGGAGTGTCTTTGGATTTCAAGTATTCCACTGAACCTTTGAACATGCCCCTGGTGATCTCTCTTGAAGTCTTCCTGCAAATGTGTAGCCCCTACACACATAACAGTATAAGTACAATAATTACAATAAACAACAATTTTAAAAATACCGTAATCAGAACTATAAAGGTTATTTCCTGAAAGTACATCCTTCCAGTTTCACCTGGGAAGAGCCAAAACTCCTGTTAATGCCAGCTTCAGCAGGCTTGGGCTCTT